TCGATTTGCATTCTGAAAAAATATTCTTTTTTTCCACAACATGTAGGTACGAGGGATTGATTGAGGCACATCTTTAAAATTGTATTTAGTTGATTAAATATTTAAGTTGGAAATTCTGATGTTTTTTAAATTTTTATTGCAATTTAAATTACGAAAATTAAAAACGTGGCTCGGTCGTTCCCTTTTATATATTACGGACGATCGGAATATTTGTTCATAATGAAAATCGTGATAATTTTTGATAGGTACGTAGTCCTTGGAATTAGAAATAGTAGTTTTTGACAAAAAAAGACGTGGTAGTGAGGCCTCTTATTCCTTAACAAGTTACAGTCATATTTTGCTAACGTAAACACTATTATGTTGTTTAATTTATAATATTTAAATACATTTACTCAAATATACATAATAAATAAAAGACAAGGTACTGGTTTGTTATAGCCCAGCCATCTGTATAACAATAAATACATAGTATAATTAATGTACAAAATTCGACGGAAAATACGCACCATTACTATGAGGTACCTAATAAGCAACAACAATCAAGTAGCCAGTAGGTATGGTCCAAGTTTAATAGTTGAAATAGATGAAAGTCTTTTCGTATGCAGGAAAAATAATGCAGGGCGTATATTACATCAACAATGGGTGGTCTGGTGGTATATGCCGGGAAAATAAGGAATGTTTCATAGTTAGTATGAGCTAGGGCCGTATTAAGGGACAATGTATGTTGGAGCAAACATAAATATGACGACCCTAATTTAGTATACGCCATTTTTTACAAGAAAATAACCAAAATAAAATTTTATCGCTAAATACATCACAATATATCTACAAATACATTATACAATATACTTACAAAAAACTATATTCTTACCAACTCATTAGTTAGGTACCTACTCTTGCTACACTTAGGTATTGTCTTTTACAATATATTTAAACACATGAATCAGATAAAATTTATACAAATAAATAAAAACAACAAATGAATAAATTATTACATACATTTAGAGGTGTAAAATTTACGTAAATTTTTTTTTGGTAATTTACTGAGAAAAATTTACGTAAATTTGGTAAATTTTGATAATTTTGGTATGTTACCATAAAGGAACACCTCCAGAATCTCTTCTCTGCCACATTTCCATGAACTTTTAATTTGGCAACATTTATTTTTTTTATTTGCTGGATACCAAGGTGTTCAATTGAACAGCCTGCTTCAATTCACTCCCCATGTTTGGTTTGAATGTTTAAATAGTATGCAAAGAACCAATCACAAATGCATGTGGAGCTTTTCACTCGGAATTTAATTCATTATATTTTTATTCTAGTCATCCAAATGTTTTAAAATTCATTGACGTCTTAAAATCCAGATATAATAAAAAAAAAAAAAAAATAATAATACATGTCATACATGTTTTTTTTCTTCCAATAATACATGTCTTAATTAATAACATAGACTATGAAAAAATATTACAAAAAAAAAAAAACCATTTAAAATTAGAATATTTATAAAAAACAAATAGAAAGTTTAAAAATAAATGCAATTTAACTGTTCAATTTTATAATAAACGTTTCATCTAAATTTAAACCAATATAAAGTAATAAATATAAATGCAATGCTCACAATTTAGTAGGTAAACTATGCTTTTTTAGTATTATAATTTAACATAAATCTTTTTTTTTTTTATTTTTATTTGGCATAAACAATCTATACTATTTGAAGCACAATAAGTTTATATGATAAGAGTAATAGAACATGATTATTTTGAATAAGCAGCCACCCATTAGTGGTTCTTGATGTATATTTTGGTATGTTTCGAATGAATAATACTTCGCTAAAAAAATAGGGGGGTCATCATCATTGTCAAATTTCAGTTTTTTTTCAGTTATTTTCTCATGCTTATAATTAATATTTCAAAAAGAGTCAAAATATTTTTAAAACAATACAGTGAACAAAAAATTATACTATTTTTAAATTTGTTTGGTGTATAGAAAGTGCCAATATGCACGTTAGGTAAACATTTCATGTATTTAAGGTTTTTTTTTAGAATTATTTTAAAAAACCAAATCAAAAAACAGGTTTTGCATAAAAATCTTAGTTATTTCTTAATTTTTATTTGTTTTCCTGACACTTTCGAAAAGTACTGTAAAACCTAGAACCCTTATGCCATCGATATAAATAAATTAAATAATACTAAATGTTGTTTATAATTCCAATTTCTTTTTTTGAAATATGGTTTTCTTTTAGCACCCTTGACCTTAAGATTCATTCACAAACACTGAATCAGTTTAATATTTGAGAAATCATTTAATCAATGTTACAATAAAACATAATAAAACAAACCATATTAAAATCAACAAAATATTCCTTAAATATACAAAAATTAATTAGATAAATGGAGATATTTTTACTATAGTTATTTGTAAGTTGAATATAGTGTAAAGAAATATGTTACTTATAATAATTATTGTATAAAAGATTTAAGGATACATCAATATAAATTATCATAGTACAAACAAAATTTTAAATCAAGATAATATTAAATTGTCAAAAATTAATACATTTTAATGACATGAATTTTGTAAATATAAAATCAAATTAGCGTAAAGAAATAGATTATCTTATACTAATAATTATTATATAAATGATTTAATGATTCATTAATTTTGTAATATTGACTATTGTCTTTTTTACATATTTACCATTGCTATGTCAAATAAAAGGAAAATTAATAACTATTTTAATGCAAGTTCAGATTCTTAAAGATTTGGATACCTCCAGCTACATTTTATTTCCATTATTTGATTTTAAAGCCAAAAGAGGCTTAAAATTCAAACACCATTAGCTGAATGCTTATAAATGGCTGGCCTATTCTGAAAAATACCAAGGGGCTTTTTGCAAATACTGTGTTGTTTTCTCAAAAATTGGTAGTATTGGTGTTCAAAAATTAGGAACCCTAGTACAGAATTTATTGCCCAGATTTCCAATATTATTCTGTCTTTTGAAAACCGAAACATGCTTAGTCCAGGATAATTAACAGCATTTTTAGAGCAATTAAAATACTGGCATTTATTGCCAGGCATTATTACAACAATATAAAATATATATCTCAAATTTAAAATTATATAACTGTATGGTACATGGAAACAATATAATATTATTTTGTTTGAGACGTTATACTAGGAATGTCTATTTGTGATATTGTGAACTGTAAACTATATACAATTGTCATAGTAATAATTATAGGCATTATAATACTGTGACGTCAAATTTATTAATACATATCGTGAATATTGAATAACAATATCGTCGGCCATCGCTGGTCACCCGCCAAAACCGATACTATGGCAAGGTAAGTTCCCCGACGAGCTGACAGCAACGACAACAACGCTCTGCAGCGGCTGACAGCATAGAATCGGTTGCCACTATTTAATACAGCATGGCTTATCTGTATATTATAAAATAAATGGCCATAGTCATGATGATCCCATGCAATTAATTTTTGTATCATTTAACTAAAACAGTAGTAACACGCTGCTATATATATTATTATAGTGGTTTGAACTCTGAAGTCCATACTAATCATTTTCTACACTAACTGAAATAGACCAATATAAAGATTATTTTTTGTAATATTCCCATGTTTACTTCATAGTTCATAAACGCCTATATAAATTAATTGGATCTTGACTTTCTGGGAACATCAGATTATAGGCAGTATAATATTATACACTGTATAAATAACATGCTAATTAAGAGTTACAAACATTAAATTAGATGTTAGGATAATACGAATATATGATTTAAGAATGTATAGACTAAAGAGTAAATATGTGGTATTCATTTTATATAACTTATAATTTTAATAATCAGTAAAATGTTGTAGGTATGAGGTTGTAGGTAAATACTAAATAGTTTGAAAATGGTAAAAGGTTTGACTTAAAAATGGAACTAACAACATAACTAGGCTCAGTGCTACTGCATTTTGAGAATTTCAATTAGATTTTTCATTAAAATTTAAGCAATTTATAAGTATATTCTATAGATTAGTATTTAGAAAATGTTGTTTAAAAAGTAGCATAATATACTCAGGGGTTAAAGTGGGAAAAAATTCCAGAGGGGACTAATGTCTCCATGTAGTTTTAAGCGTTCCATATATAACTTTATGTATAATTTCTAATGTATAAAATCATAATTTGTTAAAGTGGACCCTTTTAAACCACCGTCAGAGGTAGGGGGACTGATTCCTCCTGTGCCCCCCACACTTTAACACTTGAATATACTTATTCAAAATCCCCATCTACTTTACATGAAACATCTTTCAACTTTTGATATAATACAAAATAAAATAGATACATAATTAACTAATTAGGTAATCATTTTAAATATTAACAAATTATTGTAATAACTTATATTGTATATTTTGAATAAACATTATTTCAGTAGTCAATTGACTTTAAAATAAATCATAAATAATATTTATAAAAATGTAATTTAATAGTTATACAAATAAAATAAATAATATACTTGTGTACAAAGTGCAATAAATATTTTTAACTATTTAATTTGGAGTATATTTTTAAATTAATACTAAAAATATTTAATACTAAAGTGCAATTAAAATAGATAAAAGTAAAGAAACATTCAATGGGTCTTTTAACTATTTAACCAATTTATAATGATTTGATACCGACATAACCGCTATATTATCCATCATTAATATTATGAATTAGTTTAATCAATAGTTTATACATTAAATATTATAATTAGTCATTATACATAATTATTAAAGAACACTTATTGAAATAAAATAATATTAACAAGTTTCAAAACTATTATATTATCTTGAATAAATAGTAAATACGTTTATAATTCAAATTCAATTTTAATTTTAAATATTTAAACTTAATCTTATTTTGTTTATAGCACTTTAATAAAACATTAACATATTTTTATATATATTAATTTATTAATATTGTATAAAAATAAAATGTAAAGATATGCTTTATTTACAGCCTTCAACATAATTTCCTGGGAATAACCCTGTAATTCCGTCCATTACGCCTTCCCACCAACCATCATCATTTTTCTTTAAGACATAAATAACTGAATTTTCTTGAAAACTTAATTCGTCGTCTTTATCAGCATAATAATCATAAATTGCAATTACTAAAATATAAATAGTTTATTATAATTTAATATAATTTATATTATTAAGAAATTTTAAACTTACCCTTCTCCGAATAATTCTTAGGAACCCATCCTGGAAGATCAGGTTCTTGGGGTACAATTGAGCCAGCAGCAATATGACCAAAATAATCTTCTGGAGGTCGTGGTAATGGCAGAGAAGCTGATGCTTGTCTAGTATGTTGCTGTTGGGGGGATGTGACTACTGCAGATGAAGAATAATATTGTGCTGAGTTTTTTAAGATACCAGGTAACTGTGAGGTATTTGCACGATAGTGGTCAGTAGTTGTTAGCTGGGGAATGTTAGAACGATAATGATCAGCAGGTGGCTTTTGAGGGATGTTTGAACTATAATGAACGGTGGATGATTGTTGAGATAAATTTGAACGAAAATGATCGGTAGATGATAGTTGCGATGTATTAGAGAGGTAATGATAATGATCTGTAGAAGATTGTTGAGATATGTTTGAATAATAATGGTCTGTAGATGACTGTTGAGAAGTATTTGATGAAAAAGTAGCCTGATGGAGATGATGGTCCAACAAATCTGGTCCAACTTCCATTCTTGTGTTTAATGTATGAAGAGACGGTGGAGCTAGTAGATAATTAAGAGCATAATGACTGGGAACTTGTCGTGGAGCAACGGCGGGAGTTGTGCGATATTCACGATACCCTTTACTCAATGATCCAGTGGCTCGTATAACTGCTGGAGGTGTAGGTGGTTTGATTGTAGGAGCAGGACCAACAAATGACATATTAGTTGAAGCACTGGAACTATTGGAAATTGGTTGACAGACCATACAGGAAGTTTTACGAACACCGTGGCCAATATCATCAAGTGCTGTAATATAAAATGTATAAAAATAACATACAATTTTAAAATAATGATTTCTAAATCTTTAAATTAGTCATGTGCATTACATAATATTGTTATATTCTCAAAACAGAAAGTAGTAGGTACCTGTAAAATCAATTGGTTTTCTAACATATTTAATAGGCTTTTCTGGATTAGCAGGTGCGATGATTTTATGTTGACGGTTGGTTGTTTTATTTGTTGTCAATACACCGATTTCTTGTCTAGCAACTATTTCTTTATGAATCATTACGTTCTATAAAATAAAAAATATTGATAACATTTTTGTGATTAGTATCTTAAGTACTAATAGTACTTATTAGTAATTAGTATTATGCATGTATACAAAATATGCCTCAATGTAGGTTTTACAGGGGAAGGAGATGGGTTCCTTCTAAATATGTGTGAATGTTTAAATATGTAGTTCCTAACTTTAATAGTGATATAGTCACCAAAGTATAAAATATTTACTATAAATACAAATTATTTCTTATTATTATAAAGTGTATAGCACTTAAAATTACTTCTATTGTACCTAACCTATCAATGATTAAAAAAATGAGACGTGTAAAAATACAATTACATGAAAAATATTTTCACCCCTACACCCTTGGGATTGCCACTGTTTCAGTAAACATCTGTGCCTAGTATATTTTATGCAAGATAACCAATTATATGAATTACAAAAAAAGAGTTGATGTCATACAATTATTATGACATTTTCATAATTTTTAACACAGACTTCTAATCCGTACATATTATAGGATGTAATAATTCAATTTGTAAATTTATATGAAAACAATTACTTGAGCAATGTGGTTGATTTGACTATCCATTTTAGATAGTTGAATGGTTTGAAGGTCCAATAATTGTAAAAAGTTATAAGCAAGTGTGTTTATTTGACATGCAACACTAGCTAACGACTGGGTGGTATAGTTTTTTGTTTCTTCTAAAGCCAATCGTTTATTCTCAGCTTGAAAATAATTTACTTCACAGTATTCAGCAACACGCACTAAATTTACATGACTGTCTGTCAAACTCTTACGGCCCTCCGGTATATCAGCTTGTAACAGCTGTGCCAATTCAGCCATGTTGTCAGAATCACTTCCTAAGCCAGATTCTCGACTTGAACCCAAAGTTCCTGGAAATATATTTTTGAAAAAATTATTATTATCTAAACTTATCCAACAAAATACAAAATTACAAGTATTATGTTATAATCTTCCAACAAAAAGTAAAAAAATCCAAGTAAGTACAAAATTCTTAACTATAATTACAAGATCAAATAATAGTTGTCTTAATGGGTTAAAGAAACTGACGTAAGTTTACTATTTTGGTTTTAATAACAACTGAAATAATAATAATTAATAATTACACATCAATTATTAATTATTAAATATAGGTACTTTTACTTTACAATTTCTGTCTTTACATACTGACTTTTTAGTGCCATTATCAAAATATGTAAAATATATGTATATATTGATAATGCTCCAGTAATGTGACCCATTGCTCACATATACAGTCACAACTCACAACACAAACAGAAAAGCTGTTATGTCAACACTCAACTGTATTAGATGTGACGGGCGAGGGCTTTCAAACAATATGAGAGGTTCCCAGACACCTAGCGCTCTAAAATGAATGGACCGTATGATAAGGTACTTTGCTTACACACAACCTTACTTGTAAACGTAGGGTTTGCCTGCAGTGAACAAGGGGGTGAGTAAGACAGGTAACAAACTTGGGGTAACCAAATAATAAAATAATAATAACAGTGTAATTAAATATATGGCACTTACTTGTACTATCCAATAATTAATAACAAACAACAGTTAGGCATATAATAATACTAATAATGATTTAACTTACTCTGAGTATGGAAGTTAACTAATTCAATGATAATATAATAAAACGCACGGTACCGTGAAGTGCAGGAACTGGCCAGTTACACACTATTATTATTACCACTTGCCTATAAAACTTACTGCTAACAGCAATACAGTAGAATTATAATAATATATACTACAGTATTAAGGTATAATATGCTAATTACATCACATTTTGACTTTTGTGTAACATTTTAAATTATATAATTCACTAATACAACTATCTCTGTTGATAGAATTAACTAAACCAAAACTAATTAACAATATGAAATATACACTTCTAATAGCGATTATCATACAAGTTAAACAGTAACAAAACGCAACACTGTTGTGAGTGTTGTGCTGTTGACACAACAATTTATAACTCAATAAGAAACAAAATAAACTTAACTACATCAGACTTAATAATTTCTTACAACTACCATTACATATAACATATTTTTCGTAATTACACAAAAATTGATTATAATATAGGTACATATTTTGATAATAGACCAGGTGGTTGAACAACAGGTGGTGCCGGACCTACCACTAGAGGGCAGCACATAATTATTCACGCTTGAACAAGATGAATTAGTGAAGTTCGAGACAATATGCTATTTTATTGTGTAAATTATATTATTCCAAATAGTACAGTATTAGTCCATGTCACAATCTGATGACAATTTATACCAGTGTCCGTATTTATGAAATTTAATACTAAAGTTAATATTTATTAGTTGTTATTAATGTCGTCATTGACAAAAACTATTGGTTATGAGTTTATGACAAACGGATGTGAATAACAATTTATATAATTTTATTCTAGTAACACTGCTCAGTGCTCATATTTAATCATTTTCTGAAACTGAAACTTTTGTTGATTATAAAAATATAAAATTATAAAACCATGTAGGTATACATTTACATCATCAATTAAATTCAATGAACCAGTTATTATTACTTAAAATAAGTAAGATTGGATACCAAAAATTCTCTACCAACAAATATCGGTATATTTCTAAGAAAATCGAAAAAAGGTTCTGGTAAGGTTCCGGTTTCAATATTTTCAATAGATCCGAATCAAATACTGGTATATTTAATTTCAAATCCAAACCTTGGTTGATTGATCAATAACACTGACAGGTAGGGTGGGGGCTGAAATTTTTTTTTTCTAAAATCGGCCAAAAATAAAATTTTGATTTGCTAACTACCGGTGTTTGTTTGGAGTCGATGGGACAAAGTGGGTGGGTTACCTGAACTTGACCCCCCCCCCCCTCAAATAAAAAATAGTTATAATTTCTTCAATAATCATTTGCTAACTTCTACAGTAAATTGCTATTATTTGCTAACTATTTTTTAACTTTTGGTATTGGTTAGTCTACGAACAGTCACTTTCCCTAGCATAGTTGTTGTAATTACACTATACAATACAATCAGTGGTCGAAGTGGGGGGGGGGGATACGGAGGGATGACATCCCTCTACTTTTTTGTATTTACATTTTTCATCCCTCTACTTATTTTGTCTAGAATAACGCATTCCTCCTAAGAATTGTGTTTTAAAATGAAATAATTATTATGATTTTTATATTTATACCTATGTATAAGAAAACTTTTTATTTTTCGTATAGGCCGTTTCGCAATCATATTATCTATACCCGTATTTAGAGCCACGGATTAAGAATTTACATATACCTTAGTCGTGTTTAGAGCTAATAACATAATATTTTAATATCACAAAACAATAACAATATTGATGATAATAAGTCCACAGAAAAATATTATAAATAAAATATTTTATCAGTTTTTTTTGAAAAATTTGAAAATATGTTATTTATTTGTTTAGTTTTAAAGATTATTTATGATCGAAAAAGATTGTAGTATTCTGATGCATAAACAAAATGTGAACTATGAAAAAAAAATACTATACAAGATATGAAGAATGTTATGATGATATCAGGAAATCTGAATTGTAAGGCATCCCTCCACTTATCTTAAGCCATTTCGACCACTGAATACAATAATACATAAATACTTGTTCAACCTGTATTCGAAAACGTCATTCACATGGCCATATTTCAATGACATTAACTTGTTAAAATAGATCGAGAACGAATAATATAGAACTAAGAAATTAGTTTTAATAAATTAAATAATTTATCAATTTCACATTAAACTATTAAATATAACTGATAAATCCTTAGACTCTCACAAAGCCACAAACTGATTGTTCTATAACTGTATATAGAACGTAGATGACCATGAATTATGAACTTCCTAGGTAACTATTATTATGTAGTAGGTACGTTCAATGTTGACATGAGCCAGCAGGGGCTTTTGCCTATTAGGCCTTGGTGGCTAGGTGTCGGTAAAACGGTATAGATGATAACCATAACTTATCTTCAGTAGTTCTGATGTATTAGTAATGTACTCAGAGTTGCCAATCCATGATGTTAGTCACTCACTCTGAACTCTATATAATGTATTATAGATTATAATAGATCTATAGAAATAGATACCAGATTTAGAGACGAACTAATGACTATTGCCTATTAATAAGATCTTGGTCCGTGGATAATAGATAATATTATGTATACATATTGTATACTATATTTATATCTATGCCTATAAATCACGGAGTAATATTGTATTTATGAACTTATATTTTATAGAGCTTCAATTATATTCAACTTGTTTTAAGGGAAATATCTAAAACCAAAATTGTATTAAATTTATCGGATAATTATTTTAGATTCTAATTTCTGAGTGGAGTAATGAAATAATGATTGTATTTTATAATGTGTGTGTGTGTGTGTGTGTATTTTTTCTGTCTGTCATCACTTTTTGGCAGTGTTAGGTAGTAGGTAAAAGTCGTCGTGAGTAATAACTAATAACTAAAAACTAGTTTCGCAAATTACAAATTACTGTGAATTGTAATGAAATTAGAAAGACAAAAGTAAAAAATTCCAAGTACTTTTCAATATCCAAGATAATATTTTATACATAGAAGTCTGACCGAAAGCAGAAATGTCCGTCGATTGAACAAAGCCCATAATATTAGTGCTGTTCCCGAATATTAAAACGCTAGGTATTAGTGTTTGAGGTGTGTGTGTATGTGGTGTATTGTAGAGATGGAGAATTTACGTAAAAAAATATCAGTAATTTTACTAATAAAGTTGTAAAAATGGTAAAATAGAATCTCTGATTAAATAGTAATATTTTTAAGAGCCATCTTTTTTATTAGTAAAATATAAGATTGTTATTAATTATTACTATTGTTGTATTGTTAACAAATTTAGTTCTTTCTAATAAAAACAATAAATAATTAAAAATGGATCTATAGTTCTGTAGCAGTATATATTACGAATATTTAATTATTCATAATACAATTAATAAATAATTAAAATTAATTTATCAAAATTACCACAACATTTCTTTTATTTTTTTATGTTCAAAAGTCAAAACATTTATATTTATTTACTTTTTATTATTATGTACTTATATACAGTGTCGTCAAGAAAATGGAAAATATGATTAGTATAATAATTATTGCATTGGTATTTATTGTCAGTTGATAAAAAAGATATCTCTTTGCAATTCGGGATAGGCGTTTTTTATTACATTTGATTGCATACTCAACATTATTTTGGGTAAAAAAAAATTGTAAATTGTTAATTTACAAGACTAAAGTCTCTAGTGTATTGCATGCCCAAATTAAAATATAATTATATGAATAATAATTATAATCAATGGGAATATTATTACTAAATATTAGGTACTACTTATTACTTATCTCGATTAAAAATAAAATTATTTTATTTTATTCGCATACCCTGCAATATTACACATTTGCCCAGATTAATACATTTATTATTAAAGGAAAAACGAGGGTGAGCAATGATCATGGTTGGTGAATTATTACTCTGTATATTTTTAATAATATGTCTAGAAATAATGAATAGGTAGGTAGGTACTGCAATTTATTCCAAACTACATTGTTCTATCATCAAATTATACTTAAAATATACAAAGTAATAATTCACCAACCATACTCATTGCTCACCCTCGTTTTTCCTTTAATAATAAATGTATTAATATAGTTGGTACTTTAGGGTCAAAAGTAAAATTTTTTCAGTAGTTTTCAAACGCACTGCGAAAAACAAAAGAAAAGTTAAGGAAAAACGGGAATTTTTACGCAAATCAATTTTGGTTTTTTTTTGTAACTCTAAAACAAATGACCAAAGATACATGAAATTTTTTCTGACTGTTTAACTATATTATTGGCATTTTCTATACACCATGCCTTTTTTTAAATATTTTGACTTATTTTGAGTTTCCAATTTTTTTAGTTTTTTATTCTATAAATATCAATAAAATTTTATTTGTTGGTTAAAAAAGCTTGAAAATTTAATAGAGGGCTCCTAGTAAATTGTTTCAAAGCAAATGAAAAATATTAAAATCCTTACCCACGGTTTTTTTTTATTAGCATTTAAAGTCCAAAAATTGACAAAATATGGAAAAATCACGAAAATTAGCAAATTATTTTGAGTTAAGAATTCGTAAAAATTTTTCTTTTTAAATCTAAGATTTTAAAATGTAATACATGATTCCTTATAAGTTATAAGATTACCTACCTTTATCAAAAAAAAAAAATGTCTATAAGAAAGTCAAATTAAATTTTTATGAGCGTTTGAAATTCAAATTTTACAACATTGGATATTCACTCGATTTCTGGTGTGGCGATTTCCTTATTTTGTTGTAATTCAAAAACGAATTACTGTAGATACGTCATGACAATTTCACTGAATGTTTATATTAGCATTTCCTATACACCATAACATTTTGAAAATATTTTGACTCCTTTTGAGCTGTTTACGGACATTTATAGTTTTCAATATTTTAATTTTTTTCTCTATAAATATCAATAAAGTTTTATTTGTTGTGCCAAAAAGTGTAAAAATGTAATACAAGGCTCCTGGTATATTTTTACAATATCAGTTGAAAATTACTTAAAATACATATACACAATTTTTTTTATAAGCATTTAAAGATCAAATTTTGACCAAATTTATCAAATTTAAAATTGAATAATTATTTTGTAGTTAATAATTTATAAAATGTTCAACTTTTATAGCTAAGAATTGAAAATGTATAATACAATTCCACGTATGTAGTTAATTCTGTTACCAAAAAATCTACAAACTACATAAGCACAGCTTATTTTTATGTTCATTTGAAGTTAAAATTTGGACGAAATTGCATAAAAAAAACCTATAATAATTATTTTAGTTATTTTGTTGTAATTGTATAATATTATTCGTGGGTACTTGAAACTTCTAAATTATACTTCTATATATCTATGATATTATCAGGGTTTGTTGTTGATGTATAATGCGTTATAAGTAGGTACCTAATGGATATTAATTTATTATATTTTAATTTTTTTTAATACCATAGATAAGTAGGTATATATAATAAATCTTATACCTAAGCTGACATACCGTCTCCGCTCAGAATCGTTTTTCTTATACAATGATATTATATCAAGGAATTCGAATTTAATACCATCCATTATACAGTGACCCACTTGTAACCTACTCTAGAGCAAAGCACCTTTTTTTTTTTTAAACTGGTAAAAAAAATTAGAATTTATAATTCGTTTTTAATATCTAAATATATTGCTATTTTTCTCTTTATCAAATATTTATAATTATTATTTGAATAAGTACATGTAACAAAGATTTCTGTTGATTAATCCAAATTGTTGAAAGTATATTAAGCAATAGTGCATATTTTAAGAATTCTTAGCACATGATGATTTTAGCATTTGTAACTAACCTAACCTGAGAACGCCACAGATTCTGTGGTATATAGTTGACAGTATACGCAGTACAGTGCATACTATATAGTCTACTAGTATATACTATTATACTAGCATCCAAAAATATAATTAGTACCTCACTACCTCCCCACCTACCCAGATATGTTGCGTCCAATGATTAAATTCGCACAATATAGGTCCTTTTTTATTTTCCAGTTCTTTACCAAAAATTGAGATTAAATACTTAAAAACGATGCGTATCAAAAAGTTGCTGACATAACTATATAATATTTTGTCATGATAAATATATACTACGTACATAATGAATAGTGGAAATGTACCCCCCCCACACTGCTTTCGGTGTAGGACATTTCCTCTCAGGCCCCGATATATTTTTAAAGTGTACTATTTAATAATATCAATATATTAATGCCTGTTGTCTAAATGTCTGATATTTTGAAATATTTTCATAAATATAATAAATAATAGATGTATATTTTTGATCGAATGAACTCATTGAATCAAATTCACAAGCAATTATTAAATTGTTAAATATTCAAACAGGTAAGTTTTAATAAAAAATAAAAAAATAAATATGTTCAAAGCCTAAAAAATATAAGTTACGAAATAACAAAAGAATTAGAATTCAAATGTTTTTTTTATAAAATGTATCATTTTTATGTCGGAATTTTTAACCATTTTTATTAATTATTAATTATAATTTACTTTATACCAACTTATTTATTTTTATTTTTATTATTTCAAGTAACTAGTAAGTAGTTCAGTTTGAAAAGTGCTTGCCTGTATATTAAGTTTTCAAGTTGTCTATATATTTATTATAGATATTATACACTAAAATCAATAATATCATGTCATTAAAATCGAAAGCTATTGTTTAACTAACAATTTCAAAACAAAAACAGAAATTGGTAAATATTTAAAGAGCTTTTTGAGGCTCCATATTCTCATCTCCTAAAATGGCGAGTGATGGGTTTGATTGTATGTCCAGGTAACCTAACTGGTTGTGAAGAATTTACAGACTATATTATATTAGATAGGTAGCTTTATTTCTGAAAATTCTAAATTCATTCCTCATATTTGGTTTGAATGTTTAAACAGTAAGCAAAGAACCAACCACAAATGCATGTGGAGCTTTTCACTCGGAATTTAATTCATTATATTCTTATTCTAGTCATCCAAATATTTTCCGATTCATTGACGTCTTAAAATCATTCCAGATGCAACGCAATGCTCAAAATTTAGTAGGTAAAATAGGCTTACTTTGTATTATAATTTAACATAAATCTTAATATATATTTTGGTATGTTAGAATGAAATATAATACTGCCCCAACAAAATAAGTGGTCAACATCATTGTCCCATCAAGTAAATTTTTCAAATTTCAATTTTTTTTAGTAATTTTCTTATGCTTATAATTAATATTTCAAAAAGAATCAAAATATTTTTAAAATAACACGGTGTACAAAAATGATACTTTTTTGAAATTTGTTTGGTGCATAGAAAATGCCAATATGCACGTTAGGTAAACATTTCATGTATTTAAGGTTCTTTTTTTTAGAATTACTATAAAAAACAAAATAAAAAAACAGGGTTTGCATATAAATCTTAGTTATTTCTTAATTTTTGTTTGTTTTTCCTGACGTTATTGAAAAGTACTGTGAAACCTAGAACCTCTATGCCATAGATATAAATAAATTATATAATACTTAATATTATTAATAATTCCAATTTCTTTTTTTGAAACACGATTTTCTTTTAGCGCCTGCGAGCTTTTTACATACTACAGGTTCATTCACAAACTCTGATCGGTTAAATATTTGAGAAATTTTTTAATCAATGTTACAATAAAACATATTAAATCAAACCATATCAAAATTAACAAATTATTCCTTAAATATATAAAAATTAATCAGATAAATGGAGATATTTTTACTATAGTTTATTGTACCTAATGTAATGATATATATTTAATTATATATTAATTATACATATCAAACGACATTTAAATTTAAAGATCATATGCATCATAAGTCATAACTATACATATTATTCAGACAACAATTAAAAATTAAAACAAGAAATCAAATTATATTCATTACAATAGATTATTATAATTCACATAAATTTATATAATAACTTTTATTAATGACATTTAGAATTAATACTATAAATGTAATATTACATCAGATACAATTATACTTACACACCCACACACACACACACACACACACACACACAAAATATCACATATAAGGAGGCTGGACAATACCTTTCCGGCGGGCAGTGTTTTTACCACCACGAATGTAAACATGTTATTATCTTACCTTTTGTATAGATGTTAAAAAGCGAGTTTCAAAACTACGCAGATATTCTATGCAAAAGGATATCACTACAAGGTAAATTAACTGTTATATATTAAATTGTAAATGTCGTATAATAAATAAACTCAAAAGTTGTAACCAATAAAAAAAAAGGTTTTTATTATTTGAAAATATGTATCTTATAATTAATTGACTAAAGAAGAAGCAGAATCAAAAAGGTAATATGTTAATATATAACATAATTTCATAGTTACCTAATTCTTTACACTCTCCCAATCATTACAGTAAGTTGAATATAGAGTAAAAAAAATATGTTATTTTATAATAATTATTATATAAAAGATTTAGGGATACATCAATGTAGACAATTATAGTACAAAGAGAATTTTAAATCAAGATAATACTAAATTGTCAAAAATTAATACATTTGAATGACATGAATTTTGTAAATATAAAATAAATTTAGCGTAAGGAAATAGATTAACTTATACTAATAACTATTGTATTAATGATTGTAGTGCAAATAAAATTGTAGATCAAGATAGCTTTAAATTGGCAAAAATCATTTATACATTTTAATTCCCATTTAAAACATTGTAAGTTGAATACAGTGTAAAGAAATATATTATTTTATAATAATTATTATATAAAAGATTTAAGGATACATCAATATAAATTATTATAGTACAAAAAAATTTTTAAATCAAAATAATATTAAATGAATTTACCTGTATTAATAATATGCATTTTGCATACAAAAAATAAATTTTAAAAATAATGGATAATATTCAATATTTACCTATACATCAATACTTATTCATTAATTATGTCATCATTTACCAGCTTGACGGTCAACAAATAAACGAAATAATCGCAACCTCCACTGGTCTATTATATTGACGAGTTTTATAGAATCTGATATTCCGCTGTGTTTGATCGCAGAATTCAGAAAGTTATACATGCTATGCATTTTTTTATCTTCTTGGTATAAGTCAAATACAAAAACAACATGTTCTAACAATTGAACAACACTGGACAATACTTTATTTGGATTTTCTTTAAAATAATTCATTTCTAACAAATCTTGTACAAACCTGAACAAAATTGTATTTAAGATTAATATTCTAAGCAATGATACTACTTTATGATACATTTTATACCAATCATTAGAATAGAAAAATAAATTAAGTAAAATTTCAATACTTTTTTATTCATATTTGGTACAAAAAATTTGATGAATATATTGTACATCATGTTCACCATTAAGTAAAAACAATAGATTAAGTTTATTATTGTCTTTATTATATTGTAATTATTGAGTTATCTAAGTTGTATACTAGTAGAATTTAAAAAAAAATATTATTTTGGTTAAACATTGTAATTGCAGCAATAATTGTTTTTATAAGCTGTTTGTTAAAATGGATAATAATAATATACAAACAAGTTTTTAAATGTATGACTCTAACTGGGTGGGGGATTTATATATTTTATGATTAAGACTGAAGTTTAAATTAATCATAAATAATACATACCATTCTTTGATGCTAGATGGAAATGTATTCTTATTGTCAGTCTTTCCTAAAAGTAACTTGAATATTTTGTATGTTAAATAAGTATACATTTTTTCCAATATTTGTCCTTCCAAAGGCAGAAATAAATCAACCATCATAATTAATAAATTATCTTCATTGTGTTCTGAATACAATTCTTCAGCAAAAACTATAATAGCGGAACCATTGTCTTTTTCTAATGCTGTTTCAATACAAACACTAAATAATCTTTTTAATACATTTATCATTTGTCCACCAAGGTGAAAGTATATTGTAACAGTATATTTGGCTATTGTTAAAAGTTCGTCAACACAAAATGTCTTGTTATTTTTCAGTATACTGGAAGATATGCAATTTAATACTAATTCAAAATTGTGCCTTTTAATGTTTTTATAATTTTTAATTTGATACTCAATTGATGGATCACTAGTTTGAGTATCCAAATCAGCAGACCATTTGCATAAAATATTTTGGACAATCTAAAAAAAAATGTTTAATTCTGTTTTAATAAAAATTATTCTTAGGCAAAAAAAGTATAGTTATAATCATGGTTGAAATATATAAGGTTAATGTATATATACCACTTCTCAATCAAATATTTGATGATAAGAACAAAAATGGCAGCGTAAAGTGAGCAAATAATAACCAAGTATATGTGTGCGGGAAGCTTAGACTTCTTAGATTCTGCCAGTGTATTTTTGAAGATAAGAAAAATTGATATTTGTGATATCCCTTTACGCAGCTATTTTGTTTCTGACGATAACATTCAGAGTCTATATGCAATAACCTGTATATTTCAACCATGGTCATAATAAATTATTTATTAGATAGATTATGTGAATAGAATTTAATAATTTGTAAACATACATCAAATACTGGGGACCAATTTGCTTTCATCAAATGGTTAAAATGAATGCTGGCTTCAAGTTCATTTCCTTCGATTAACATAATTTGTAAACGTTGCATACACAATTTTGTTAAATCAGAATCTGAGCTGTCTTTAAAGGGTATATTGTAATTAGATAAGACAGCAGGATCAAAATGAATTGATTCAATAGGAAGTTTGTCATTGTCTTCAAAATCAATAGTCTCATTTAGTTCTTGATACGATTCGTCAATAACTTTCATCTCCTCATCATGTTTAGCAGTTTGTTCCCAAACATTTTTTTCTAATTGTCTATTTTTCAAAATTTTATGTAAATTAAATTTATAAACTGGCCTTTTAATTCGTTTAATTGCAGTCTTTTTTGATGTGCACTGTTTTTTATCTTTAACAGTTTCTTTCTTTGTTTTTGGCATTCTGAAAGATAAAAAAAAAATATTACTTAATAAAACTGCAGTTTAATACCATGGTAATAATTTGGTATTTACAATAATACAAATTAATTATTAATTCAATTGTTTGTTATTTGACATAACTCATAATATTTAGTTTAACCCTGTTTTCTACTGTGTGTCCGTGTAGTGTACTAAAGTGTATTACTATTATAATATGGTCGGTGTTTTTTGTAATATTGACTATTGTTTTTTTACATCTTTACCATTACTATGTCAAATAAAAGTAAAATTACTAGATATTTTGACACAAGTTCAGATTTTTATAGATGTGTGTATACCACCAGCTACATTTCATTTACATTATTTTATTTTAATGTCAAAAGAGGCTTAAAATTCAAACACCATTAGCTGAATGCTAATAAAAGGCTAGCCTATTCTGAAAATACTAAGGGGCTTTTTGCAAATACTGTGTTGTTTTCTCAAAAATTGGTGGTATTGGTGGTCAAAAATTAGGACCCCTTGTATTGGAGGCTTTTACTAACTACAAAAAAGCTACAGAAGTGTGTATATTTATAAAAAAAATGTTATTTATAATTTTCAATATTTTGATAGGTGTTTAAGAAACATGCTAATTTGGAATACCATAAAACTGCATTATTGAAATGTAACTTTTTAAATGTTCATTAATAAAAGTTCTTTAATTATAAACTGTATTGATAGTGAAAGGTACATCAAAATAATAAGTATACCTATGTAATCTTTAATTAATTATAAATCTATAAATAGGTATAAGAAATATATTTGAACTACATTTTAGATTCTGAGCGGAGCAAGGAAGCTAGTGGTTTTACAATGGTGTTTATTTTTTTCTTTTTTTTCTTTTTTTTATATCCTGTATACAAAATGTCTACCAGAAGGAGTGCTTTGATTTCAATATATAGTACCTTATCTTTTAGCAAATTGGTCCAAGATGGTACTTTAGAGAGGTCATTTTTCGATTTTCTCAATAGTTATTTAATGCCACGGGAAAAAGTACTGAAAAATTACGAAAAACCGCTTAAAATGGGATTTTAATTTCTAACAATTTGTTTATCACCGTAGCAACGAATAAAAAAAATAATAATTTAAATAAAATAATTAATGACAATATAAAATATACAGACTGACAAACCGTCTCCGTTCAGAATCGTTTTTCTTATACAATGATATTATATCATTGAATTCAAGTTTAATACAATCCATTAAACAATGACCAACTTGTAACCTACTGTACAGCTGAGCGACATCCACTTACCTGCCTTTTTTTAGTTTAATTTTTAGAACGAAACAAATTGAAGAAAATCAAAAACATTTTGAATGTGTGATGTTATGCGGCCAACAGGAAATAGCTTTAAGAAGTCTATGGTAATATTTGTTTCAGTAGTATGATACAATACTATAAAGCTTACAACTTTTTAAGGATCAAGTAGAAATAAAAAAAAAACTATATGTCCAAAATTAGTATTTGGTACTTTAATAGACTGTTTAATAAGAGTAAATACTAAAGAATATAGTTTTTATTATATAGTTATAATAGTATAGAATTTATTGTTTAGGTGAATCAAATGAAAATGAAGGAAACTTGTGCTATTTTGAAATATAAAGACAAAGATATAGACTATATGAAAACATATTTAGAAACAGATTTTAAAAACAAATATATTAGTAATCAAACTCACAATGAGATAATTGAAACATTTGAGGATATTTTTTTTTTAAAAATTGTTAAAACTGTCAATGAATCAGATTTCTTTTCTGTATCAGTCGACGAGACAACAGATGTTTCGGTAAAAGAGCAGCTTACCTTATTTTTCAGATATTTAAGTGGATCTAGAGATAACGGGACAACAGACAAGCACACAAGCCAATGATCTGAAAAAATTCCCAGATACCATTTTACTTATAATTATTAAATATTGTCAATAGACAAACTTTTCCGTTTTACATTGTTGATCGTTGAAATTGATGTACCTATTGTTCTTTGATTTTTGTGTTGACTTTGAATATACTTGACAGAAGTACAAAACTTAAACTAAAAGCCTTACCGAAATGTTTCATTCTCTGAGTACAAAAAATAGTCAACTGGTAGGTACGATCAATAATTTATGGCAAATTTAAGTCTGTGTTTAAAACAACTACCTACCTACAGTCAACTCAACAATCTACATCCTATTTTTTTTCATTTTAAGTTTTGTGTTTTGAATAGTGTTGTATATGTATAAAAATTTAAATAAATAATTAAAACCGTAACAGAACAAATAAACGTTATAGCAATATATTTTATTAAATTAAATTTTGATAATTTGATACTGACGACAATTTATTGAATTGAGAGGGAACAAAATGGTCTATTGATTTACAAACGTATTATTATTATTTTCCATAGAGTATAGACTCTGTGGCAGGATAGAACAATAGGCATTAAACTTATACCTACATACAAATTAAATTATAAAAAAAAAACGATTCACTTCTTACCTACTTAAAAAGTTGACATTGGGTCAGTTCACTTCCACACTTTCACGGATATCTGTGGTTCGCTACTCCACTCGAGTCTCGAATACTCAAATATTATAAGGGTAAGATAAACTAGTATTATATTAATAATTAAAGACACGACTGAAGACGATTAAAGACAGATCACAGTGGAAAAGACTCGGTCGTATAAATTACTCTACTTGACCTTAAAGAGAATACGGGTGTGAAGTTGGGGGACTATAGCTAGGGGACTATTTTCTCGGACGACTAGTGATAACAGGCCTTGTATGCCCGGTTGCGTTTTATTATATTCAAGGCACCCGACATTTGTATTACCGTCAACCACAAGATGGCGCCATGAAATTCACTTACATCATTATGTGCCCGTATATTAATGCGACCGACCGGCCCAGGGGACCATGTTTTCGTACTGCCGCGTGCAGGTACCCATGCGCCGTTTTTCATTTTTTTGCCCAAGTTCCGGAAGGCGGCGACGCATTAAACCTATATATTCGGAAAGCCAGGAAAATTCTCTATAAGATGAAAATAAGTCTAGGAGCTAAAAAGCTTTCGGAGACATAGTAATATGCGACCGAACAGCCCAGGGGACTATTTTTTCGTACCGCCGCGTGCAGGTACCCATGCGCCGTTTTTCATTTTTCCGACCAAGTTCCGGAAGGTGGCAACGCATTAAACCTATATATTCGGAAAGCCAGGAAAAATCTCTATAAGATGAAAATAAGTCTAGGAGCTACAAAGCTTTCGGGGACATAGTAAAATGCGACCGACCGGCCCAGGGGACCATGTTTTCGTACTGAATAGGTACGGGCGGATGTGTCGTTTTTCATTTTTCCGACCAAGTTTCGGAAGGTGGCGACGCATTAAACCTATATATTCGGAAAGCCAGGAAAAATCTCTATAAGATGAAAATAAGTCTAGGAGCTACAAAGCTTTCGGGGACATGGTAAAATGCGACCGACCGGCCCAGGGGACCATGTTTTCGTACTGAATAATTACGGGCGGATGTGACGTTTTTCATTTTTCCGACCAAGTTCCGGAAGGTACCCAAAATTGACTAAACTAGAGCTAAGTAGAATTTAAATAATTTAAAAATTCAATTTAATTAATTTTTTTTTCTAACTGTACGTACTTATTTTTTCTTAGTTTATTGAATAGTTTATGTCTGTAATTTCTGTAAATTAAATTGTAAATAAAAATGTATACTAATGGTAAAAAAAATAAAATAGAAATGTTGTTTCTTGAAAATACATGTTAATATAAACAATAATATCAAAATTAATACTGATCATAATGATCATACTTCAACTACCTCTAGTTGTATTGAATCAAATTTAGAAGACGTAAGTAGTTCAAGTTCATTTGATAACACATCTATTCAAGTAGTTGAAGAATGTGAAGATGTTGAGTTGACAATTGCTAAGTGGGCCGTTAGGAATTCTATATGTCATTCAGTTTTGGATGATTTATTAACTTCTTTGTCAAAACACACTGAATTTAAATATTTACCTAAAGATTCTCGTACATTGTTACATACTCCTTCCTCTACTGTATTGAAAAATATTGACGGTGGTGTTTACTACCATTTTGGTATTGTCAGTGAAATAGAATATTTATGCAAAGTACATACACATTTACCTTCTACTTTAATGTTGATGGTTGGAATCGATGGATTACCAGTTACCAAAAATCCACCAAGTCAATTGTGGACAATTTTAGGTTATTTTTCAAATATTCCTGATGAAAAACATAGAGTTTTCATCATAGGAGCTTATTATGGCAAATCTAAACCTGGTGATTGCAATGAATACATGCAGGATTTTGCTGATGAGTTGTGTTTGTTAATAAATGAAGGTGTTGTTATAAATAACATAACAATTAAAATATTGTTAAATGCTATAATTTGTGATACACCCGCAAAATCTTTCATTTTAAATATTCGTGGACATACTGCAAAAAACTCTTGTTTAAGGTGTCATACCGTCGGTCAATATGAAAATAACCGTGTATATTTTCCAGATTTAATTTATTCTCTAAGAACCCATGATGATTTTGTGGCATATCTGGACTCAGAGTTTCATTATGGTGAAACTGTTCTGTCCAAATTACCTAAGTTTGACATCATAAATAATATTCCGTATGATTACATGCACTGTGTCTGTATCGGTGTTATGAAAAAAATTTTGATTTTTTGGACTGGTGGTGTCAAAAAACATAATTTAGCTCTTCCAAAAAAATTGATATCTGTTTTAGACTCAAGATTGAATAATTTGGGACAACATGTGCCCCATGAATTTCAAAGAGCTCCTAATGAAAATAGTAGACAGCATCCGATACACGATGCATCTCGTTTAAAGGCCACAGAACTTCGACAAATTTTATTGTATACCGGTATGGTTATTTTTCATAAAGTAATTAGTGAAGAAGTGTATAACCATTTTTTAGAATTTTGTATCGCCATAAGAATTCTTTCCACAAATAATATC